AATTTCAGCTTAGTTTTTTTTCTGAAGACCCAAAGAACAGACTTAAGGAAAAAAGTAATCAATCCAAACTGACCCTTTTTATGACCTCTAATAATAACTATTTTTTCTATATTATTAAATAATGCATATATTCATGAAGTTATATTTTTAAAGAATTTATCAATATGTTGATGTGTGTGTGTATAAAACTCCATATCTCACCTCTCATATCATTGTGACAATGCTATATCATGTCATGCAAATGTTTAATAGAATTGAACCAAAATATCCACAAACACACAGAAACACAAAAAATCCGTTACAGTCGATTTTGGTTTTCTTACATTTCAATGAAATACATGGTCGCACGTTTACAAACAAATACCCCTCCCGCTCGCAATACCGATATCACAAAGACCAAATCACAGAATAAAAGAAAAAAACATTTCCCAAAAAAACATCAAAACCCATTTTTCTATCTTGTTGACGTGTTGCAGTAGTATCAGAAATCCACACACACACGGTAAACCATGCAATTTTTTCTCTAATCTTTTGCCATTGTAGCTGTTACTTTTGTTGCTGCATGATCGTACTTCTTTCTATCAGATACTGACAGCATATTTTCATCACGTTCATCATGAGAATATCAACTGCATTTATCCAACACCAATCCTGAGTAACAAAACAAAAAAACACGCAACACTCACATACATAACATTCAAATGAAAAACCTCAATGCGAAATAACAAAAACAACCACAGATACAACAGCAACAACAAGAAAAAATCAGTCACATGCGATAAGTTTTGAATAAATGAAATATTTGACATGTGAAACCGCAGACACCAACAGACAAACGACATCATCTTCATCACGGTCGTCGTTATTGAACGAAATAATGATAGCAACATTTTTTTTTTAATTTCATTTTCAATGACAACCAAGACCAAACCTGAGCGCTACGCATAAAATTACTAGGCCGACTATATGATACCCTTCATATATATATGAAGGGTATCATATAGTCGGACGAAAATATATATGGGAGCTATATCTAAATCTAACCCGATTTTGACGAAACTTAGCACACATCACTATAGACTCAGTTCAGTACGCTGTGCTAAATTTCGTGCAAATCAAAAACCAGTAAGGAAAGTAGTAAAGTCGGACTGGACCGACTATATGATACCCTTCACCACTTTGGGTATATTGTACATATGTATCCTAACAATATTATGTCTATGTTCCCTCTTTCTCCAACCTATCCTAACTTTAATTCCATTCGAGCAGATTTAGAGCCGTCTGCGTAACATGGGGAAAATTCATTTTTAAGCTATTGATAGCAAAATTGATACACGCTATTCGCTACGCCGCGTTGTTAAAAATATAATCTATATGTGGGAGCTATACCTAAATCTGAACCGAAAATTAACACACATCTTTCTAGACTTAATTCAGTATGCTATGCCAAATTATGTGCAAATCGATGGATATATAGGGACGTTGGTGCATCATTTACCTAAAATCGGACGAACATATATATGGGAGCTATATCTAAATCTGAACCGATGTTCACAAAATTTAACAAGCATAGTTCTCGAATTAATTCAGTACGCTAAGTCAAATTTCGTGCAAATCAAAGTATATATAGAGACGTTGGTACACCATTTACCTTAAATCGGACGAAAATATATATGGGAGCTATATCCATATCTGAACCGATTTTCAGGAAACCTAACACACATCATTCTAGACCTAATTCATTACGTTGTGCCAAATTTCGTGCAAATCAAAAGATATATAGGAACTTTGATACGCCATTTACCTTAAATCGGACGAAAATATATATGGGAGCTATATCCAAATCTGAACCGAATTGCAGGAAACTTGACACATAATTCTAGACCTAATTCATTACGCTGTGCCAAATTTCGTACAAATCGAAAGATATATAGGGACTTTGGTACACCATTTACCTTAAATCGGACGAAAAAATATATGGGAGCTATATCCAAATCTGAACCGATTTTTCCGAAACTTCACACACATCATTCTAGACCTAATTCATTACGCTGTACCAAATTTCGTGCAAATCGAAATATATATAGGGACCGTTTACATTAAATCGGACAAAAATATATATGGGAGCTATATCTAAATCTGAACCTATTTTTCCCAATTTCAATAGGGTTCGTCCTTGGGCCAAATAAGTGCGAAATTTCATCCAATTCGGATTATAAATGCGACCTGTACTTTGTTTACAATTTTACATCGACAGACAGACGGACGGACGGACATGCATAACACGACTCAGAAAGTGATTCTATGCATATTCTCAAAAGGAACCATGTGTCTATCTCGATTATTTTTGCCTGTTACAAACATATGCACAAAGACATAATACCCTGTACCACAGAGTGGTGAAGGGTATAAATATGTAGGGACTATTTTGCACCATTAACATAAAATCGGATGCAAATATATATGGGAGCTATATCTAAATCTGAACCGGTTTTCACGAAACTTAGCACACTTCATTCTAGATTTAAATATGTGCGCTCTGCAAAATTTTTTGCAAATCGAAGGATATATAAGGACTTTGCTGCACCATTTACATCAAATCGGTCGAAAATTTAAATGGGAGCTATATCTAAATCTGAACCGATTTTCCCCAATTTCAATAGGGGTTGTCCTTGCGCCAAACAAATAAACTGTACCAAATGTCTTCCAAATCGGATTATAAATGCGACCTGTAGTTTGGTACAAATTTAAAACCAACAGACGGAGGGACGGACATGCATAAATCGACTCAGAAAGTGATTCTATGCATGCAAGGAACCATGGGTCTATCTCGATTCGTTTTGCCTGTTACAAAAATATGCACAAAGACATAATGCCACTGTGTGGTGAAGGTTATAAAAACCTTAAAAACTAATAACTCCAAATTGGAAGATGGAAATCCGAAAGTCTAATGTCGGATGGATCCGACCATATGATATCCTACACAACTACCACGGAACTCCAACTTTCTGCAGATCTATATTCCGAGCTCGGGAAATACTTCGAGATATTTGACTAATGATCACCCAGGAGCTAAAAATAGACTGTTTTGAACCATTTACACAAAGCTGGGTTCAAAAAGAAGATCGAATTAACAGAAAAAATAGGATGGATCGAATTTGCATCTGCGAAGGCTAGGCCAAACGGATGGTGACTGGAGATAATAAATGGATCACATACGATAACCCTGTGTGAAAACGATCGTGGTCGAAGGGTGGTGAAGCACCTCAAATGGTGACCCAACCAGGACTATCGGTCAGGAATGTTCTGCTATGAGTTTGGTGTGACTGGAAGCGGTTTATTGGTTATGAGTTGCTTCCATATAGCCAAACGCTAAATTCTGATCTCTACTGTTAACAACTGGACCGGTTGAATATAGCAATTGACCAGAATTGGCCAACAGGAGAGATGTCGGATTCCACCAGGGCAACGCTAGGCCACACACATCTACAATGACTCGCCAGAAACGTCGGGAGCTTGTTTGGGAAGTTTTAATTCATTGGCCATACAGTCCGGACTTGGCACCAAGCGATTATAATATTTTTCTCGCATTGCAAAATTTCTTTATTGATAAAAAAATTGTACCTAGGGAGGATTGTGAAAATTGACTACTAGAGTTTTTTTTTTTGCAAATAGAGAGCAGGAGTTCTATGAGAGAGGCATTATGAAGTTACCTTTAAAATGGCAACAAATCGGTGCATATTTGGCCCAGGTCGGACATTCCGAAGCATGTTAAATGAAGTCATTCATATAAAGGATTTATTTTTCCCAATCATAAAATATAAGTCATAGAATAAAAATTTGGTCATTTTTCACATAAAATTCTGGGTCCTTTTAACCCGCTAAATATTGACCGATCTTCATCGAAACACCAATTCTTATTCCATGATTAGAACCTTTCCCCTGTGTAAAATTTCGTGATGTTCGGATCATAATTGTGGCCTCTAGAGCGATTAGAAAAACAGACAACAATAAAGTTTTTGCTCCATTTCATTTTCCATGATCAGAACGGTCCTCTGTGTAAAATTTCGTGATGTTCGAAACATAATTGCGACCAGAAAAATAGACAGCAATAAAGATTTTGGTCCATTTAATCGATTATTAATAGAATCAATAGGAGTCTTCTTTGGCCAGAATACGTCCTACTTAAAAAAACGATGGTCCATAATTGTGGCCTGTATCTTGTTTACAAATGTCTAAGCTAGTCGAGATATAACGATCGGTATACTAAAAGATATAAACAGTTAGACATGCACTGTATCTGGCACTGGTATGAACTATGATTATTGACTATCTGAAATTATTTACCTTTGCACAGTTCAGTTTTCATCTATTTTAGTTTACCTATAACGAAAAAGCTACCAATATATACAATAATGGCAGTCTTCAGAAAAACTGTCGGCTGTAATGACAGGCTCATCAAATAGAGAAGCTGTTTAAGTAATGTCAAAATGGACACAAAAGCTACCAATTTCTAAGTGAATATATTTTTTCCGCTAAGCCTAGGGTTTGCTTTACCTTGGTAATAGTAAACTTCTTCTATAACGAACTAATTTTCTGGTCCCTACTAATACGGCACTGTATCAATATTTTCTTCGAAAAATGTCTCTAATTATTTTAATTGTACACCAGGGCGTATAAGAGTTATCGTTAGTCATACGCAACAAAGGACTTAAAATTAATTACCTAAAACTTCAATGAATTGAATTTCAAAATGAATTCTTAGATATTGCCTAGGATAACAAAATAAAATTCATGGATGAAAGTTGGATCTTAGAATTGCTACTACAAGTTCTATATATCCTTATTCGACCAAAAATTGATATATTTATTGCAGGCAGTTGAAACTTTTCTCTTGGACTTCGATCATTCGTCATCATCGCGCCACTTTTTATATAAATAACTTGTAAATATCATTTCACAATAACATTTTTTTAATATAAAATTATAACTACAAATTAATATATCAAATCATATCACCCGCTGGTTTTATAATCAATTCATAAACGTTAACGTGTGGCGGTGAACTCAAGGCAAACATGACGGCTCTGGAAACATCTTCCGGCTGCAAAATAATGCCATGGCAAATTTTCTTTTGCTCCTCGGTTATTAGTTCAGTATCCACTAGACCAGGACTAATACTCTGCAATACAAAGAAACATCATTAGTGAAAGTCCAGCGGCAAATAAATCTACCCCATTGACAACCTTCCCGCTCTCAGTCAAAGGAAATAACTACCCTCCCCAAAATGTAACAACCAACCAAGTAAAAAAAAACAAAAATTGTGAAAAGTCATTACCGTAACTTTGATACGTGTTCCCAAGGCACGAAACTCCTGGCGATAAATTTCATTTATAGCCGTTAGTGCATATTTAGTGGCCGGATAAATGTTTAACGATGGTACATGACCGGGAATCACTGGTACATTATGACCCAAAATGCTGTTGATTAAAATAATGTGACCACGCGGTTTTCCATCGGAGTTCTCCTCGGCCGCCCCCTGCTGCATTGAGGCGAATGCATTTCGGGTACAATTGACAACACCCATAATATTGGTTTGCAGCACTTCCTGTATTTGCTCCGGAGGCATTTGGCACAATTGACCCATCCTCAGGCAGCCGGCATTATTAACGAGCACATAAATGCGTCCGTGGCGAAGAGAGATTTCTTTAAAGGCCTCAGCCACCTCGTTGGCATTGGTCACATCACAGCGTATGGCATGCAGGCGCTGTTGCTGCTCACCGGTCAACTGTTGCTTCAGCTGTTCAACACGTTCGATGCGGCGAGCCAAACCAATAACAATCAATTGAGCTTTTAATAAATCTTTGACTACGGCAGCACCAATACCCGAACTGGCACCAGTGACCACCGCTATTTTCCATTTTAATTGCTCCATACTCCAAATCTGCTGGACTGGCTGGACTCTTCGGTTGTCGGTAGTCTGACGCACACAATTGACTTTGTGTGCCCTGTTTGACCGAGGTGGCCTAAAGGGTTGCTATTCTATTGAACGGGAGGATTACGGCTGCGGAGATGAGATGTCTATGCCCGGTGATATAAACCGACCAGTTGGCTGAGTGCGTGTTTTCAAAGCAAAAGTACGCTGTAAACTGCTTTATGGTTTTAAAAGAATTTAACTTTTTATTAAGTGACTGCAGGCAAACGGCGAATGTGTGTGTGAGTGCATGCATGTGTGGTCCATGTGTGTAAATACATGCACACGAAAAAACATCAACTTGAACACAAAACGAGGTGAGGTTAGTAGACGCATCACTAAAACCGCATCGAAATATATCGATTTTCATTTCAAGTACGTGTTACTGTAGAACTTGTGTAGGTTTACAGAGATTATGGGTGCATACGTGAGAAGAGGTGGAAGGGAACTCAAAACAGACACATAGAACATTTAGTTTATGTTCACTTTTTAACCTGAATTCAATATTCAGTTTGAATATTTATGTTTCAGTTTTAGTGAATATTCTTCTGAAATAAAAATGTAAATTGTGAATATGATGCATTAAAGTTCCCAAATTTTTGGCATGGGCCAAAAGCATTTGGGCATTTATAGAAGCGAAAATTCTGGTGACATAATGACATTGGCTATATATTAAAAAAGAATCTCTATTTGCAACTTTTTTTGCTAGTACGAACCAGTATATTTATATGAAGACTATAAAATTTGTATAATTTAGATCCTGCCGCGCCAAATAACAGCTTTTTATTTAGAAAAATGTGACAAGGGCATCAAACATCCGGAATGCTAAATTACCATCACTCCCAGATAATGCAGACCCTTTATATGGATATCTATTTTAAAACATTGAACTGTACTGATTTTGCTGTTCCAGAATATCTTCTTATCAAAACGAACTGGGAAAGTAAAATTCGATTTCGACTTTCCGAGTATATAAATATCCCCCACCAAAACTTTGCAAAATCTTTAAACATGAAACTATCAAAACGTGAATCTATGTGGATAAGTTTCTACTGAACGTCTGTTATCCCCTGAGAAACCAAATAAAAATGTGGTTTTACCGTAAATATTACCTCTCCCTCTCGTTTGCGGCTAGGATTTCCAAAACACCCAAAATGGATGTTTTCTTACTGCCAAGAGATATTTTTATCCTCTTAAAATATTAACAGATATGTCAATCAATATCTCTCAATAACGATTCGATCGTCAAAATTTATTTTTGCCTCCATGATGATAGTACGTATCATGGGGGCAATACTAATGCCAACCAGTGAGCGGAGCAGTGTAGTCGGACGGGCCGAACATATGATACCCTACGCAACTTCTGTGGTTCTATATTCTGACCTTGGGCAATATTTCGCGATATTTCAACCTCTTGACTGACTAAAGGTCAACAAATATTACTAACATTCTGTACAGCTCTTCCAATTACTTGTCCAGATCCCCTTCACCGTGGGTTGTGTTACGATGTTCGGCTTCCAATTGTGGCCTATAGACCAACTCGAAAACAAAACAAAAAATTAAGTTTTTGCTCCACTTCATCCCAACATTATTATCTGATCATCACCGAAAATTATAGGTGTTGTCCTTGACCAAACCTGGATCCTCATGGAAACTTTCAATGCGATCAGCGCTATATTTCCGCACTCTAGTGTGGTAATGGGTTACTAAATAACATACAAATACGTAAGAATCTGTAAATATTTAAGCGTATCTTCCACATCCGACAACATACGAAAATATAATTGGTATCAATTTAAAGGTCACCTCTCCTCTTGGATATATTATCAACTTCTCGGGTATATGTCCTTCAGGGGTAAATATATACGCTATAGAATAAAAATTTTGTCATTTTTCACATGAAATATTGGCCGATCTTTATCATGTAAAAATTCGGGATGTTTGGACCATAATTACGGCCTCTGGAGCGAGCAGAAAAACCGAAAAAATTAAATATTTGCTTTATTTTATCCTCTAAATATTACGGACCAAAAACAATAGGGGTCTTCATTGGGCAGAACCCACCCAAATTTTGTGCAGATTGGTCCATAACTGTGGTCTGTATCGTGTTTACAAATTATAATGGGCAAAAGGACGGACAGACACACATGTCTAGATTGACGATCGGTATACTTAAAGGTGGGTCTAGGACCAATATTTCGCGGCGGTACAAACTCTTGGGGCTGCACAAAGCTGTAATACCCTGAAATTTAGTTGTGTAGGGTATAAGAATACTAATACTGATACTAGTACTAATATTAATACTTATACTAATACTATTCGTAATATTAACCCTTTATGGCCCAATTTTGCCCACAGGCAACAACATATTTTAAATATTATATTTAATATGCTGCTAGTAGATATATATTCTATTTCTTTCATGGGTAAAATTTTTGGTAAATTTGTGAGCTTTTTAATATGGTTTCATTGTTATTGGGCTGTTACTTTTCAGAAAGAATGTACTGCAGCTCCCGAATGCAAGGATGTAAAATTATGTTCATATCACAGAAAAGTGTTTTTGATTACGGGAAAAAACGATGATTAAGGGTTAAAACTTTTCTTAATTCAAATATATCAAATCGAGTGGGATTTCGAAAGCTAAAAAATAAAGTGGGCCTCTTTTAATAATATTTTTTGTTTGTGTTTGTTACTCCAAACACCGAATACTGTCGCATATTTTTTTTAATTGAAATATGTGTATGTTGCTAAATATTATAAAGAATACATCCATATATAAAACCAGTGAGCGGAGCAGTATAGCCGGACGGGGCCGACCATATGATACCCTACACAACTTCCACGAAAATCTAACTTTCTGTGGTTATATATTCTGAGCATGGAAAATATTTCGCAATATTTGCACCCTCTTGACCGACTAGAAGTCAACAAATATTACTAATAATCAGTAAATCCCTTCTAATTACTTGTCCAGATTCCCTTCACCGTGGATTGTGTTATGATGTTCGACTTTCAATTGTGGCCTATATATTGACTAGAAAAAAAAACACAAAAAAATAAATTTTTGGGTCCACCTCATCCCAATATTATTATCTGATCATCACCGAAAATTATAAGCGTTATTCAAAGCGATCCGCGCTGTATTTCCGCCTCTACTGTGGTAATGTGTTACTAAATAATATCTGAGTACGTAAGCACCTGTAAATATTTAATTGTAACTCCCACATCCTAGTACATACGACAATATAATTGGTATCAATTTAAAGGTCAACCACTGCTCTTGGATATACTATAAACTTCTCGGTTCTATGTCAGGAGTAAATATATACACTATAGAATATAAATGTTGTCATTTTTCACACAAAAGTTAGGGTCCATTTGACCCACTAAATATTGATCGATCTTTATCAAAACAGGCATGCTTATTCTTTGGCCCAATCCCCTTCTCCATGTAGAAATTCGCGGCGTTTGCGCCATAATTGCGGCCTCTGGAGCGACCAGAAAATCAGACAAAAATTTAGTTTTTGGTCCATTTCATCCCCTAAATATTAACCGATATTTACCAAATATAATAGGGGTCTTCATTGGGCAGAACCCATCCTACATGCAAAATTTCGTGAAGATTGGTCCATAACTGAGGCCTGTATCGTGTTAACAAATTATAATGGACAGACGGACGGACGGACACACATGTCTAGATCGACTCAGCTAGTCGAGATATAACGATCGGTATACTTAAAGGTTGGTCTAGACAAATATTTCGCGGTGAGAAAGGTGAGAAAAATTTGAAAATGGCAAAAAATTTGCAAAAAATGTTTTGAAGCAATTTGCATTTCCACGAATTTATTGTCGAGCTATTGTTATTGCACCACGTTGTAGTTGTTATTTTGAGATATTGTGGAAGAAAATTGGTAGCGTATCATTCCTTTAAGCTTTCATTTGTCAATTATTAACAATTTTGGAAATATTTTTTTTCAATTGGTTGGACATGGTATTGAAATTTTTTTGTAAGACTCTTAAAAATAATTGAGAAGTATCATTGAATGTACACGTTTTCCATAGAATGCCCGTACATTTGGGACAAATGCAAGGATGAAAATCGGAAGACATGCGGAATAGATTTCTGATTCTAAGATCCATGCCCAAGATTATTTTCTTAAAATAATAATAATAGTTCCATAGGAACATATTATTTCTTAACGTACCTAAAATGTTGATATGCCACGGGAAATCAGATGGCAGCATTATATGGTGGTTATTTGCCTATCTTTGAACTTATAAACTCAATACCGCATAATGTGTATCGCAGAGAAAACTAATATACCACTCATTTGCTGCAAGACAGGCATAACTCAAAAAACGTGATTTTCGAATTAATGACGATTGTTCGCTATAATAGATCTCATGTTGTGTAGAAAAATCATATGAATCTCTCTTACACACTCTAATTGAGAAGCTGTAGAAGTTCCTCTGTCCCATATAAAGTGTGAGTAAATTGAAAACTTAAAACGCATTTTCTGCAAAATCGATCTTTTGAGTTATGCCTGTATTGCAGCAAATGAGCGATATGTACGATGACATTTTCTGTGCAAAATTCTATCATTAAGTTCAAAAAAAGCGATGTTACCTTTTCGTATTGAACCTCAATATGTCAGGAGATCTAATAACATGTATAAATGCTGTTAAGATCGAACTGTTCATATCTTCTCATATGTATATTCCTTAAATCCATTGGGACATTTATATTGGTACAATGTTATAACACTATTAGGTAGTAGGTTGTCCATGATCTTTAACAATAATGTTCAAAATTATAGACACTCAGGTTGGAAAAGGGGGAAAGAACTTCAACGTACCGAAAATTAAATGGGAAATATGTATGGCATCCATTATGAGAAAATTCGGTCAAAGTCTTCACAATTCCGAAAATGGAGTATGACCAGTATGTAGGAGCTTGGGCCAAAATAGAAATGT